CCATAAATGTTCGATATTGCTCCCAATCAGCTCTATGGTAATTGAAAATAGAGCTGTTGGGATCAGACATTATTTCTTGGGATATTTCAAAAGTTACTGGAAGGTGATCAGAACCGAAGTCAGCATGGGTAACCAATTGGCTACAAAGTTGACATGAATCAGATAAGACCAAATCAATAGTTGAGGGATTTCTTGCAGAAGAAAAGCATGTTGGGCTGTTTGGATATTGAATAGTGTAATAACCTGCAGAACAATCACCAAACAGAATATTACCATTAGAATTGCCTTGAGCATTATTCCATGAGTGGTGTTTTGCATTAAAATCCCCAATAATGAATAATTTTGACTAATGTCGGGTAAGTTTTTGAAGGTCACACTTGATAAAATACTTTGGAATGGAAAATAAGCAGTTATAAACTTTAGTTGGCCAAATTTGCACGTTATGATCTCTAAAAAAGTTGAATAGCTCGTCTTCATCACTTTTAATTGAACTGACGATCCAATTCAAAATATTTAATGATTTAAAATCCATTACTGTTCGCAAATTTTACTCCAGTTTGAATAGTATCAAACATGGAGAATGTTTTTAGTACATCAGTATTCATGTCGATCAATGATTTCTGCAAAAATCCAATTTAGGAGCAGTAATGCTACCTTTGTTAAAATCATTAACATTTCCGTTAGAATTATGATGGCTAGTATTTAGATTTTAATTTATACCAGCTGCAATAGCAGCATTTACTTGCAACATTTTTAGCAGCAAGTATAGATGAAGAATTTGAAGCTTGTGAGCTGTTTGTACCTACGGGTACGAATGTAGTGCTGACTGTTGTTAACAGCAGGGGCATTTGTACCTGGTCGGGAACGTGGAGCGTTCTATCTGTCGCTTAGAACGATATTGTAGGATCCCTTTGCGAGTCTTACATTCCCAAAAAAATTAGATTTGTGGTTTTCACTATAATTTGAACATTTAAATTTTTTAGGAGCTTCATTCACAAGACAGTCGTTCTTTGCGTGAGAGGAATCACCACAATTCATGCATTTAGCTGGCATGTAGCAATGTTTTGTTCCGTGACCCCATGCCTGACACTTACGGCACTGGGTGAGATTTAGTGAGTGTTCTCACTTCACTCAGACATGGAGCATAAGGCTAGCTTTTTCTAAGGCCTTAAGATAATTGAGTTCACTAGACTTGAAGAGATCTAATTAAAAATCATGAGTAATCCCGTTGCGTGAATAGCCAGGAAGGGATTTCATTTTCATTTTGATTACTTGCATTGGTTCAACTCCAAGAAACGCTGTGAATTTATCTTTGATCTTATCCAGGGATTCACCACTGGGCAGACCTTTCATGACAACCTTGAATACACGTTCAGTTTTGGTGTCGTAAGTAAAAAAAAAATGATGCTGCTTCTCAGTAAGATACTTGAGAAGACGTTAGAATCCGTCCATAGTTTCAACCAATACACGGCATTCACCTCGACGGCCAATTTGAAGTGAAAACGTGAATTTGACGAAGTTCAAAAGTTCCTTGCGAAAAGCATGGAAATCAGAAATGATTATCACTTTAGGAGGGACCTTTACCTTCTTGGCATTAAACCGTTTAGGCTTCATGGTGGCAGTAAAACGTTTCTTTAAATCGACTTCCAAGTGGATTACTATAAGAATCTGAAGGATCGAAGAAGAATTTATTTGATATGGCTCAACCGAATTAACTTAACAGAGCCGAGGATTCTTGTTCACTATACAATACATCTTATAACTATAGTCAAAAGGTACAACACAATAAACATTTTATCTTCCGCTATCCAATAAGCCTCCTCCACCAGAACGGGGGCCGCTTCCAGTGGTTTCATTGTATGACAAATTCGCCAACGGGGCTCAGAGCGCTTCCATTGCAGCAATGGACGCAAAACGTGGTCAGCACTCACAACGGTTGCTTTCCAAACTCGACGACGCATCGACTGAAAGAACTGCTGATGAAGAACAATGAGGAAGACCACACAATGGTTGCTGCCGAGTAAACAGACGATGACGTGACACACATTGAGAGTGGTCTGTTTCTGTCGACAGCCGAGTGAACACTGTCCAAATCGATATCCAAGCAGGATTTCCTCGGGTAGGGTCCAAACAAGGATCGAAGAGGAATAAGAGTCGAGCAAGGTAGAAAATTTGCAGGTTATATTGAGCACTGAAAAGTGCTGCTTAAATTAGTTGTAGCTTTAGGTAGCAACAACACTTCCTTCACAGCAAAAAGCAAATAGATCCGCACGGAAAAAGAGGACTGATTCTCATTTTCGTGCGCAGCTGATCAGAGTAGCATTTGAAGATTGAAATTTGTATTGAGTCGATTGAGTCTAAAACAGAACGGGCGATTCTGACAGTCTCCATGTTGAGGATGATTATATTTTAATATATATTATGCAATCAAGATATAAACATGATATAGCTGGACAACGTGACTAACATTCGAAAAAGGTCTATGGGTTATATATAATAATATTTTGTTTTAAATTCTCAATCGCTTGAAAACGGATGAACTTAGGGAAAAAGTTTAAAAACGTTTAAACTAATTCATTAAAAATAATGCGCAGGATAAATTTATGGTAATATTTTATATAAAAATATAAAATCTTAAAGTGTTTAAAAATTTGATAAAAAGTATACCTTATTAAATTGTGTTCCTTTTAATTTTTCTACTATTGTACCACTTTCACTTTCATTAATTCTCTATTCACTTTCACTAATTCAGTATTCACTTTACTATCTTAAAAAAAAACTTTAACATATACGTACCGTAAAACGGGGTAACATTGATAGTTTTTTTTAAAGTATATTCTAAATAAGTTTTACAGCATTGAATGTTTTTCAACTTTCATATTTTAAAACAAGTACTGAGGATCTAAGAATCAATTCGTTAGTAATATGTTTAACGGAAATTAATGCAGTGCAAATGCATTTTAGTTTTGTGACTGAACTTCAGTTTTTTTTTTATTTGGGGTTACTTTGATAATGCTCGATGAATGTAGAAAAAAAAAATGAGTGAAACTCAAACAATTTAGTTCTTCATAAGCAATAAGAAGACAACATTAAATTTGTGATGGCTATATCAGAAATACATTTCATAAGTGATGGTTTGAGTGTTTTTTCAAACAGGCGAAAAACACGAAAATTGTTTTTTTAATATGTTTGTAAAATATGAAACACATACTATATAAAAACTATATACGATATCAATGGGTATTTGAGCTACAATATGGAACCAACGTTTCTAATTTGGAAAAAGCGCAGCGAGTTAATTCAATCCTTAAATTACACTGTCAAAGTTACCCGCATAATCAAAGATACCCCGTTTCACGGTATTTTGTTTATTAATTGCAAACTTCTTCAGTCTAGTCATAGACAATTACTCTAGTGAAATGCTCATCAATCAATTGAGATAAAACAACTAAAACAATTTGCCCGAAAAAATTAACATTTTAATAATGGAAAATGTCATCTTGGGCAACTACCAACATATGTGCAAAATATCATTCAAATCGAAGAGAGTCATGACCAACAAATTTACTATTTAGGGCGGAAAAGCTCTATGTTAAATTCAATAGAAATACTCAGAAAAAAATATTCCAAGCAACACTGTTAATGTGTTGCTATTTTTTTCCCTGCAAACAAACTTTCATCTCTTGCAACGAAAACAACAATACAAAAACACTAACCGTTACCACTAAGCGACAGCTGTCCACTTTTCACCCATGCATTGCGACAATGTGTAAGAGTCACCCGCCAATAGGAACCCCTCGTTCGGTGGGTGGCAGCACACGCTCTTCTCTCGGCGGTGGGGACCATAACAAGTTTTGCGGATCACCACACACCCATGTTGTTCTGTGAAACCCTTTCGCTCCGTTACGCCCGCGTTTATTATTTATAAGGGTCACTTATTTATATGCTGATTGTATCATAGCGAAGGAACCGTATCTATCGGCAGGAGGCAAGAGGTTCTCCCATAAACACCGGTCCGTCTTAATCCCTTACGTTGCTGTAGGTGCGTCCGCCGGCGAGCCAACCAAATATTGTCTCCCCGTTTGTTTTCCTAACTTCCTTCCCGGCCTTTTGGTAGCCATTTCCCGTTTGTTTAGCTTTTGTTGAATTTAGTTATTTTTATACTAACATTTTAACCACGTGAAACCCGACAAAATATTTATTCTAAGAAAAAAAACGGAGTGAAAACCAAACTCGACTCCAACTGCCGGGCTTGTCTACGCGTCCACTTCCGAGCGCGATCCTGACTCGAAAACTTTTTTTGATGAGTCGAAAAGCAGTGGGAAAAAACCGGAAGACAGCATTTTTTCCTCTCTTCAGGACAAGTCCCGCCAAACGAACAAAGTCACTTTATTTGAGATAGAGGAGAACTTGTTTCCGGTCTGTTGGAGATGATTTCTTGTTTTTTTCGAGTTTGGTTTTTATCTCTCATTTGCACTCCCCCCAACTGGCGGTCATCCCCATTCGGAACTTGGACTTTTTTTTTCGCTGCCTGACGCAGTTCGCCGAATAATGATATAAATTTCACGATTTTTTTTTTCTTTCTATGGGGATACCCGCACTATAGCATTGAACTTTGTCCTTTCTAAAAAAAAAATTGAGTTTAGTGCGATAATCGTTCGGTTTGGTTCTTTCAAAACTTTTTTTGTTTTCGGCTTCATTTCATGTCCAAAGTTCGTAGATTTATTTTTGTTCGGAAGGGGGATGACCTATGCTTCGGAAAATAAAATAAAAATCGGTGCTTCTTTCCGGTTTGCGGGTTGGAAAATCTATATTTGGTCGACTCGAACATAGACTGATTGTAGATTCCCCAGCAAGCCGCTATCAATCCGATCGTAATCCTACTCGTGCTTCATAATGCTAATATATTCTTTTTTCTCTTCTCTGATATCCCGAACGCGAAAATCTCCCATATATCACACCCGTGCGCCAAATCCGGGCTTTTGGAAATTGGAAAACAGCTCCGGAATCGAAGGCAATCCCACGGTGTTCTATCGGTTGATGCCGGGATCGACGGCACAAACCAATAAACTGCACACGTTCTATCTGCAGCAGCGGCCGGAAAATGGTGACACGTACGCCGACATCAAGGTGAACCATCCGCTCGATTTCGAAACGATAAAGGAATACAATCTGACCGTGCGAGTTGAGGTAAGTGTGGGGTGATTTTTGTGTGTGTGTGATTTAGAATTGGAGTAGTTACGACTAGCGAGTGCGAAATGTCTAAATTTTCGTGGAATAATTGGTTCACTGTAACTGGAGTAATACAGTTTATCTTCATAGTGTTCTGATCATGTAACTATCTGAAAAGCATATCCATGTAATATGAAATTTTGTTTACCAAACAAAATACTTTAACTAAACATGCTTTTTTTTACTTCATGCTTGAAGTTAACGATTTATATCAGACTTAAAGTGGACATTTTATACGATAGATAAGGAGACGAAAGTATAGCGTTGATAGTTCCGTTATAGTAAGGCAGTGTGAAAATTGTACATAGAAAGTAGAAAGCGAGCAAAGGACAATTTTTAGGTAGGTACTAATCGGGTTGAGCATTTGCTTTACCAAACTCATCCGTTGATGAAGGGCGGTCAGCAAAACAATAGCTGCAAATTCAAAACTTATCGACTAGATGCTTACGTCAGATGGCGACTTGAGTGTGTAACAATCGATAGAACCGCTTCCGCACATTGGCGATCATTCCTGTTTCCACTGGTGGCGAGGGGAAACACCCTTCACCATCCTTCATCAACCGATGAGTTTGGTAAAGGGAATGCCGACCTGATTCGTACCTTCCTCAAAATTGTCCTTTGTTCGTTTCTACTTTCTCTATACAATTATCACACTGACGTACTATTTTGAAACTACCAATTCTATACTTTCATCTCCTCATCTATCGTATACTTTGTTCACTTAGAAGCAGCGTTGCCAGATATACCGATTTATCTGTATTTATACCGATTTCCGAACTAGATACCTAGATACAGATAAGGTTCCTCAGAATACCGTTTTATGAGGTTTTATACCGATCTATACATTTTTTTAAATATTCAAAATGATTATTGCTTTCCCGCACTCGAATTTCGGAGTCAATTTTTGTGAGAGATTTGTATCTTTATGAATATCTTAAATTGTTTGAGCCTTTCAAATTCTAAAAAAAAAAACATCTTTTAAAATGTCTTATGGATACTCTTTCGATGAATGTTTCAATGTCCTCACCGTTTCAGGCTACCCATGAATCGATAAACAGTCGATGGCTCTTTCTGGTAATTCCGGGGGAATCGGGAAATACTTTTTAAACATTATTAAACTTCTTGGAATTTTCTTTCAATTTTCCCCTGAAATTGTCTTCCACCTTACATCGTAAATTATTTTTCGATTCCTCTCGGAAACTTATTTCGACTTCCCTTGGAAGCTTCTTAAGCCTTCACTCGAATGTTTCTTACATCTTCTCCCGCTGGTTTTTTCAACTTTCCCGGAACTTCAGGGATGCTTCCATATTTTGATTGCGGGTCCACACTAGCTGTGAGAACTTTTAAGCAGTTCTGAAACATCAGATAATTAAAGAATGTTTCAATAACTTCTGTTAAAATTCTAAAAACTGGAAATTTTACGAAAGTCCAGCGAACTCCAGTGAACTTAAGGAAACATCATAAATATTTTGGCTACTTCACAAGTCCAAAGAACTTCTGGAAAATTTAATGGTTTTCAGGACAGTTCCATTAGTTTCAGGAGAATTGAGAGAACTTTAGGAAGCTCGGCGAACATCAGGACAGATCAACTTATTTCAAGGAAAATGCAGAAATTTTAAAAGAGTTCCGAGAAACTCAGCCAATTTCCGAAAACCTGTAAAAAGTACGCTTTTGCATTTATTTAATTAATTATTTATTTGCACAGAATTCCTATTTATACAATTTTCCACATTTAATTATATTGCATTAACTTTCGTTTTTCAAATAAATCCATAAATTTGTTCACCGCCAAGGAACGAACATCCACTTACGTAGAGTTACACTTGTCATACAAAAAAAAGTAATGAGTTCCCTACGTTCAGATTGAAGCGCAAATTCAAATATTATAAAGCCTGTCGAGCTTTCCGACGCTACGAAGTTACAGCGTCGTAAGGTGGACATCGACCTGCCAGATTTCCATTGAAAATGCAATGACCTTTTTCCGTTCGGCTTTGCGCACTCCTACCGAATTTCGGGGAGAGAGATGACTGGACTCTAAATAGTCCATTGGAAGAGATGCTGCAAGGCACTAATAATCGGGTGCACAATTGCGAGAGTTTGGTGGTCGTGAAATTGGGTGTCGTCCAAGTTCGTGACTTCCCGGGCAAAGGTCACAATCTAGCGGCTATCTGAGGAATTCCTCAGCTTTGATCGTCCACTTCGAATCGATCTGTGGAAGAGGCAAGAGTGGTCGGTGTTTTGTCTCGTGTCGTGGTGTGATTAAAAAGGTAGTTTGCGTCATGAACTTTCTTTATTAGATTGTTATTTTCAATTCTTTCCCAGTAGTGTTAGCTTAGTGTAAAACCCTAGCAAGCTAGTTAGTAGGCGGCAAAGTGTGTGTCTCGAAGAAAGTACAAGGTAAAGTGAGCGTTTATCGACCGTTAGACCAGGTCAACTTATTAGCGTGTGCGTGCGGGTATAATCCAACAGGTTCGTGGCAGCGGAGGCCATTTGCCGTCACACCACCCTATTGTCAGAGACCGCTTTTGACCCCACCTATCGGTTTCGGAGGATTCCCGGGGCACACGTGGCCGGAAGAGGGTCGCTATCGCCAATTTGCGCGCCCCGGACAGGCAGGCCAATACTCGTCCCATCTGTAGTCATCGAACAACAGAACAGCATACGTTGCACGTGTTCCAGTGTTCGGACGATCGAACGCATGTGCCGCGTTCAAGCGTAAGCCCGCGTTTCCGGTGAGTGAGACATTTCCAGCATCAGTCGATCGCATCCGCGATAGTTTCTGGGCCGAAGTAGTGCAATACGCAGCTTCGGTACCACCGCCGTCTCCTCACCCATAGCACCGATGTAATTCCTAGGTTTTCGAGTGAGTACATGCATGTATATTTTTCATTGTGAACGTCCATGCGCATGAGACAAACGAAAGCTTCGCGAAACATAACCGTCTCATAGAATGGGTTAAATTGTTTCATCGAATGGGTTAAACGTGAAGCCGAGAAACACCAGGAGAGCAGGAATCGTACGGAGGAAACTCGCACCGAACACACGTATGGCAGTAGAATGAATAGTGCACACGCTAGGGAGTAGGATAGATGATATGATAGAGGGAAAGGAAAGAACAAAGACCTAGGCAAACAGACATGTAGGGAGCAGGTGAAATACAATCCGTACCGAATAAATAGGATGGGAGCTTTTCTCTTAACTTTGTAGTTGAGCTTTGCTAGTACGGTGACAATTGTCATGTTCCGTAATAAATACAGTTAACCCCCTAAAGCCATGGTTTTTTGGGTAGCGTACCATTGATGAACTTATGAAGGATTTTCATGTCGTTTCGTGTTCGTTTCCTGTAGTTTCGTAGAGTCAATTTACTGGGGAAGTCAGCCCTGAATCTGACATTTATTGTGCCGGCAACTCTCCAATCTTTTCGGATTGGTTCGTTTGGACTTTCAGGCTGGGCCTGTGATGAGAACATCCCTTAACGAGATTTTTGGTTCGGACGAATTGTCGGTCTTGTGCACACGTAATTGTTAGCCACCCATCTAACGAACGGAAAGTTTGACGGGCTGGCGGGTTACAAACCTTAGCTATATTCCGAGGGGCTCATGAAAATTTAAGATACCAAGAGATGCCAAAGTCAAATAGGTCAGAGGATTCGTTGAATTGATGAATCATAGCGACAAAGGAACTGTTTGCAGCATAGTTGGTTGCATGTACTACTTCATGAAGCAAGGTTCTCGGATGGAGTGGTCGGGCAAGAGCATACATATTAATTTTGGCCAGTAACTCAGGAACATCATATTCTGCGAGCAAAACTTTTGCAACGAAGACGACCTGCGATATGTTTCGTCGCTTAGCAAGAGTATCCAAACCCAGTAAACGATAGCGGAAGATAGCGCAGTGCGTATCTGACGAATTTGCGTTGAACAGCTTCGAATCGTCCACTCCATACTGCTTGGTAGGGATTCCAGACAACACACGTGAATTCCAGTAGTGAGCGTACCAATGAACAGCAAAGAGCTTTAAAACACATAGGATCACGAAATTCCTTAGATATCTTAAACATGAATCCAAGGTGACGATTAACTTTGTCGATCGTGGTTGAGAAGTGGCGAGTGCATGTGAGCTTTTTATCCAACATGACACCGAGGTCTTTAACGTGATCGAAACGTTGAAGTTCAGTCCCAGCAACGTTATAATCAAACAAAACGGCAGTCCTAGTTCGTCGGAAACTAATTACGCAGCACTTTTAAACGCACAGGACCATAACATTACGTTCACACCAATGATTAAAGATTTCAAGAAGGTTTTGTAGTTCTAAACAGTCGACATAGCCTCGAACGACTAGATAAATCTTCAAGTCATCGGCAAAAAACAAGAATAAGCGTTACATCGTTCACAAAAAAAGAGAAGAACAGTGGTCCCAAAGTGCTACCCTGTGGAACTCCTGCTCTATTAGAGAAACAGTACGATGAGTAGTTTCCGATGCACACAGTAACTTCACGTTGCACGAGGTACGATCTAAGCCAGCTGCAGAAGGAAACAGAACATCCAATTTTTTCAAGCTTTGCTAGCAAAACGTCGTGCACAACTCTATCAAATGCAGCTTTAAGATCATACATTTTCCATACATAACGACGTAAAGCTGACGAGATTAGTTTCCACGGAGCGGCCAGGAAAGAAACCATGTTGACATGTACTTATGTAATGTTTGCAGGAAGCAAACAATCTCTCATTTATCAGCGACTCAACAACTTAGATTCAACCCCAAGCGAGGTAATCCCACTGTAGCTTTGCACATTGCGTTTGTCTCCTTTCTTGAAAACAGGGAACATAGTAGAGCGTTTCCATAAAGGGTGTCCACGATGAAATTGCCACACACAAAATTGATTCGCAAAATTCGAGTTTTCATCCGATTGCCATCAAATTTTCAGGGATTGAGAAATAACTATTTAACTTCATTT